GGTGGAGGACGAGGAGGCGGGTTCGAGCCGCAGCCCCGCTCGGGGCCCCGAGCGCTGCCGCCTGCGCTTCCGCGGCTTCCGCTACCCCGAGGCCGGGGGGCCGCGCGAGGCGCTGCGCCGGCTCCGGCAGCTCTGCCGGCTGTGGCTGCGGCCCGAGACGCACAGCAAGGAGCAGATCGTGGAGCTGCTGGTGCTGGAGCAGTTCCTGGCCGTCCTGCCCGCGGAGCTGCGGGCCCGGGTGCGGGGACGGTGTCCGGAGAGCGGCGAGGAGGCCGTGGTGCTGCTGGAGGGTCCGCAGAGGCAGCTGGACGAGCCCAGGCCGCAGGTAGAGGAGAGGCTTAGCGTCCGAGAGCCGTGGTCTGCAGGCTCCCGGATTCTCGAGGGCGGGGGGGGGGGGCATTCCTCTAAGATCCACATGTGCTCAGTCTCTCTGTGCACGGCGAAGCCCCTCGGCAGTCAGGTGAAGTCCCCGGACCCCTTCTCGTAATAACCTTTTTTAATGTATCGACGAAAACATAAAGGATTGCAAAGGATCTCCGTTATATCGGAATACAGTTAGTCGAGCGTTGGCCAAATTTGTGAGACAGTTACATGCGTGCTTTTTAAAAACGAACGCGCTAAATAGTAAGATCTAGGGACGGGCCTAATAAGGGATCATGTCAAAGCATGGCAGGCACGAGTGACTTGGACAACATTTGCCGGGTTGTACTGTCCTGTGAAAACATCTGCAGTTTCTGTCGGTGACAGAGCCCTGGGTACGCTTGCGCCGACTTGCTTGCTTTGTCGCTTCGATATATGACGGAAGGAAATAAGGAAATGCGAGATTTCCCTTAGAGGCCAGTAACAAAAAGAATAGCTTTTTTCTGTCTAAGTTCACAGGCCACTTGGGAGGGAGCCCGTGGACCACAGACGTCAAACTTTTGGTAGCAAGTGGGTTGATGTTTTTCCCTGCATCTTCTTGCCTGTTTCTAGAGTTTGTTTCCTCTTGGCCTTATCTCGTGTCCTTGCGAACGTTCCTTCAGGGGACGTGTGGCCAGAGCCTCCTGGCCAGCGACCAAGAGACCAGGGTTCTTAACGGGGATCTCCTGCCCCCGTGGCCCGTAACCGAGAAGTCATTTCCAGTCACGTATCTTCAGGCTCCTCGTTCCTTATAGAGGACGTGGGAAATTCTGAATCGCCGATGAGAACGTCACTTGAAAACCGTAACTTAGGTGTGAACGTCTGGAGGGCAGCCTGCACGAAGGGGGATGTACCATGTGCAGGGCCCAGTGTTGGGCGCTTTCACGTACGTGGTCCTTATTTACCCGTCTCCCAAACCCTGTGAGCTAGAGATTATTATCCTCATCTTTCAGGTAAGAAAAGATAGTAGTATTCCCTGAGAACGTAGCCCCCATTCCCAAAGTGCGTTCACAGAAGCGCACATGTAAACGAGGAGGGATCAGAGAGTAACGGTCAAGAGCGTGGGCTCTGGAGTCATTCTGCCTGAGCTCCCATGACAGCATCGTCACTAATTGGCTGGGTGACCTCGGACCAGTTCCATAAACTCTGTACCTCGGTTTCCCCATTACAGACATAGAGACAGGAACAGAACCAAGCTCATGGGGTTGTGGTCTGCACTAAGCGAATTAACATTTATAAAGCCCGTAGAAATTGTGCCCGGAAAAGAGACGGTACTAGCACATATAGAGCACGATAGGAGGGTTTGATGAATGCATAAACGAGTGACTTCTAGGTCCCAGGTGGTGACCAGGGGCAACGGCTCTGTTCCAAGATGGCAGTGTTGACACCGGCTCGGAGGTCCCGAAGTCCCCAGTTCCAGCCGGTGAAGGCGCTGCTCGAGCGTGAATCTGTGGGACCCCAGCCCTCCGCCGACGGAGGTGAGGATTAACTCCCGAGCGGTATGAATTCTGTCGCCTCGATTGAGTTTCACGTCAGGGTCCCCGTCACAGATCTTCCCTGTGACACTGAGACTAAAAGGGAAGTTTCACACAGTGTGCACAGCTTTCCTATCCCGACCTGGACTCAGTAAGTCAGACTTTATTGACATTTGCATTTGGAAAGAATCGATTTTCCAACAAGACAGCGCTCTCCATCCGTTTAACACGAGCGAATGGAGCCCCCTATGTGGTGGCCCGCACGGTAGACACCGGGGACAGATTTGTCAGTGAGATGTTTTTCTCGCTGCGATGGACCTTACGTTCTGTCGGGGAAGACAGCAGATAGGTTAACGATACAATTTCAGACATTGCTAAATGGCGTGAAGAAAACAAGGCCGAATCGGCAAAGCCAGCCAGGGCATTGCAGAGGTTGTCGGGCTGCTGTAGCGAGGAGAGTGCGACCTGCTAAGCCCGTGGCCGGTAACTAGAGCAGGGGGACACCACTCAGTGGGAAACCGGTCCCCGCTCCCAGCGTCCCCTGTGCTGTGACGTGAGGGCGATTCCCGACACACACGCTCTGGGACACGCCAGTCATTGTCAATTTTGTTTCTCAGCAGAGGTTCTAGCCTGAACTCTGTGAGTTCGCCTCTCATAGGAGACCCTGAAGTTCCCCTTCCTTCTCTCAAAACTGAGGGAGTTCTCTGTTAGCAGACACCCATTTCCTCCTTTCTGGGCCCAGCCTTGGCTGGCTCCTCTTCGTTTTTTAAAACTAGAGCAGAAAGCACTCTACAGCTATAAAGACACTGTAGCAGCACTAACAACAATCCCCTCGCGCCTTCTCTCTGTAAATTCAAGACGAAAGGATCTCCAGATGGAAGGCTCGGTTGCGTGTTTAGGTTGCTTTCAGTCCACCATTCCCAGCAAGGGTTCTGCCTCTTTGTGTACTTTTCGTACGCCCGTCCGCAGAGCACGCCACATCTCTGGCCCTTGAATTGGAGCTTGTGGGGATCGGGAAATGTGGGGACAGAGCACTGTATATGAACTTCCTGGCGGGAAAGTACCAACCCGGTGTTGGAATGCGGCTTCCACAGGGCAGGGAGGCGGAACGCGCAGGCAGGTCTCACCCTGGGCCTCTCTCCTTCCCAGCTCTCCAGGTGTCTGGGCTCGCCCTGGGAGGGTGCCACACGGGAGACACAGGGGTGGCTGCCAGGCTCACCCCAGAGTCCCAGGTGAGCTGCAGCCCCTCTCTCACCTCGGCGCCCTTTCCTACTGCGTGCTTCCCATGAGGGTCCTCCCTCCCCGTGCCCCTCCACCCCATCCCAGACCCTCCACTCCAATCCTAGACGGGATTTCAGTGTTCTTACGTACACGCCCAGGTGGTTTCATGGTGGTTGAACTTCTTTTTTTGGTGCCTCGTTGGGAGCCTTTTCCTGCTTTGTTTTTCTCCTAAAAGCAACACTGATCTACACAGATGGTTAATATCTTCCACATGCTTTGTATTATAGCCCATCGTTAAGTAACAGCATGATAGTCACTTTGAGTTTGCAGTGTGACCTGTGACAAGATGACTTGTGACTAAGAGAGACCGCTCAGTGACCCTCATAAACTGTCTTCCTGTAGCATTTTCTGGTTTTATTATAGCTTGGGGGGCTGACAGACTGTGCTCCCCAGATCTTCACTATTCTCTATCTTTGGTTGCCCCCTTCAGAGGGATTTTCTTCTCCGATAAGGACAGTTTAGCAAATGCAAGCTGAAGATTTTATTGTGATGGTGATTCGGTTTTGCTCTCTCAAAAGTTTAAGGGAGTATCCTGTTGGCGAGGGATATAAATCCATGGCTTCTGCCTTCAAGAAACCTGAACGAGAAGGACCAGATAAGGCACGTCCTTTTAGCTCAACTGACAACGCAGTCTGAACCACCTTCACTTACACTGGGTTTTAACCTCCTACCCAGGTCTCTGTGTCTTTGGAGGCAGTGTCCATTTTCTTTCCTGACTTTTCTCACCTCAGACCTCGATTTCATTGTATTAAAAAAATGACTAGACATGAACCTCACCCCCTTTTCCAGAGCACACCGCAAGTCCCCTGAAAGGTTTGGATTTGGTTTTATGTCTTTCCCTGTGTTGGTCTTCGTTTGCCAAACCTTTTCCCTTTTGGACTGTTTAGGTATTAAGCGAAGCGCTTAGCCTAACGAATGTTTTGTTGATCGTGATGTGAGCAGAGGAGGCCGTAAGCAGGCAAAGGCTCCCACGCTGGCTCTTTTTCCCAGAGCCCTTTAAGAGTGTGGGCATCTCTGGCAATGTGCCCAGCTGCAGGAGTGACCTGTGGTGGGAGGTGCTAGGTGGGATTACCTGCTGTTTCAGGGGCTGCTGAAAATGGAAGACGTGGCTCTGACCCTCTCCTCTGGATGGACAGAGCTGGACTCATCTCCGGTGAACCTGCACAGCGATGAAAGGCAGGAGGACGGTGGCCACTGAGCTCCCTGGGTTGAGACCGCTTTTTGGCTTCCTCCGTGCATGAGTACCTGGTGGGCTCTTAGAAGCCATTGTTGGGATTCAGAGCCCTGGTCCTGACTCGCTCCCCACCCACTTCCCTCGCTTGTTTCTCTGCCCTGCCTGTGGTCTCATCAGGTTAACTGGGAGGAAGCAGGTAAACCCCTAGAACAGAACAGGCCTAGCTCATGGTGGACACTCAGTAAATGGTGGTGCCCTCCTGATGTGAGTCCCGACAGAGGGGGAGAGCCATGGGGTGTCTTCAGGGGATGGGCCCTGGGAACACAGAGTGTGTGTGTGACCTAGAAGTGACTTCTGAGGAATCACAGGCCACTTGTGACTAAGGAGAA